AGACGAGAAAGATGGACGAAAACAGTAAATTCCTTCTCTTGCGAGTTTTTATACTAGTGATAGCCTTTCTCTGATAAAGAAAAAGTATATGCCCTAGGAAAAAATTTTATTCCAAAATATGTGGTCTACTTTTATGAATGTGATCTGGATGGTTACTGGAAATGAATCAAAAACAGATATTAAAGTAAAAAACGGCTTCAACAAACGCATCATTTGTGCAAAAAGAATGAGAGCAAAAAGCAAAGTTGCTTTCATCCGTTTCTAGTTCTAGAACGGATGAAGTTGTATCTACTACGATTCCAAGAGTACTTTTATTGAAAAACTACATCTCAAAGTCAAACGAAATCTTCGTTTGATGTCAATGTTGGCATACCTTTAATTGGAGCATATTCATAAGCCGTGTAATATTTTAATAATCATTCAATGGTGATATCTGCTGGTAAGCCTTGATTGATGGCATAAAATTCAAAAACATTAACACCAACTATTGAATCCTAAACAACAACAAAAAACAGAATTATAAGAACCTTACAAGAACGAAAGAAAAATGCTTACCGAAAAACTATCAAGTACCAAATAAATACGGTTATAATCTTTAGCTTTTGGTGATACTTTAATATTATCACTCCCAATATGTACGCGTAAAACATCTTCATCAATTATATGCTTTTTATCATTACCTTCATAATCCATTGTTTGTTGTGTTGTTACATTCTCGATTAAATTATTCTTGAATAAACCATTAACTGCAAAACGATATGATTCAGCAATATTAATATCAAAATTTGGATTGAATAGACCAATAATGTTGAATACGTTACCATCTGACGTGTCACTATGGATGGATGGATTTTCTTCAGGCTTGATTGCCGTGGTTGCATTGTTGTTTGAGATTCTTTTGTTGGTTGAATACGAAATACACTCGATATTGTAATACGACCATTTGTTAATAAAACATAATTTGTATTCAATGATTCTGGATGTTGTTGAATCGATTTTGTTGGTAATAATTGAATATAAAATCAACTTGGTTAATCGATAGATGCAATCATGGTCGAAATAACCGATGTTGATTCTGGTTAAAAAAAGATATTACTTGTACTTGTATTTTATAGTTTCAGAAAAATACCTGTACTTGTATTTTAGGTACATCTCAAGTACATTTTGGCTTTTACTTCTCGTCCACGTTTTGCACCTTTGCTCTGCTGTTATTTGGTGGTCTGAGTTAACAATAAGTTATAGAGAATTGTGCAGCACTGTTTAGAGGACTTTTTAAGATTTCACTATGATCCCCAACAGTCTGTCAGATGAAATCTCACCACTATTTATTTTCGCGCTCCACAGTTTAATTTCTTTAATAAGTATGATTGTACATCTTTTGTGAGAGATAAAGAGTAATATATATGCGCGATAAACGATAAAAAGAACTACACAATAAATATGAATAACGGAAATATAAAGTAATAAACCACTGTAAAAACACCAGTAATGCTAGATATACCAGACTTAGCTATACTAACATGGGATACTGTGAATTTGACAAGTATTAGATCACTGACGTATCATGATGGAACCACGTATAGCGTTAGATAAACTAATTTTGAAAAGGAATAAAAACTTACTTGAAATGTACCAGATAAAGTGTACAAGAACAAGGTATCCGTGCTCTGCTGAATACTATATGCTAATGAGACTACAACTACGAATACGAAGAAATATTTCTTCAACAAAAAAGATGAAATGTACTTAAAAGCGAAAACATGCGTAACTAAACGGGCTTTAAAACGATAGATAGCATACCTTTTCAAACTAATGTCTTCATAGATGTATTGGACAAACACCTGACCAGTGTCTCGATTTTACACGTAGTCGCAGACAAAAACTGATTCTACTTTTGTCAGCACACTCAGACCCGGAATGGTTTATACATAGAAAGATGCAGAATTGAAAGGGCTACACAATGAGCTATAACACGTTGTTTCGAAAGTTTGCCTTCATAGATGTATTGGACAAATACTTGACAGGTAACTCAATTTTTTTCCTATAGTGGCACATAAAAATGGTTATAGTTTCTTCTACAGATACAGATTAGCCGTATTTTGTATATAGAAAAATGCAGAATTGAAAGGGCTATCGAATGAGCTATAACACATTCTTTCAAGTTGCAAGTTTGCTAGACTTATGGGTAAAAAAATGAAACAGATATTTTTCGTGTCATCGGGCCTTTCTCAAATTGAATGCTATTTGATGAAACAGTGTTGTAGAGAGCTCAGAGGCGTCTTGATTTATTCAGAAATATTTTCTGTACACGATGAGACTCTTACAAGAAAACTATCACTCGAATTTGGAGATTTAATTTTCTAGGGTTTTGGTTTTCTAGAAACCTGGATCTCACAAGCTTTAAAGGAACCTTTATTTGCCGTGAATCGGATTGGAAACTCGTCGATCTATGGAAATCTTTTTTCAGATTTGTTATGGCTATTATGCTCGAGGAGAAAAACTGCAAATACACGCGGTTCAATAGCTTTGAAAACAAACGTAAATAAAAAGCCATATACTATTGCAGCACTATACTTCACTAACTCTTCCACAACAGGTCAAAACCACTGTATCCGTTCACTATCTTGCCTATAAGCCTAGCAAACTTGCAACTTGAAAGAATGTCTTAAGGCTAGGGATAAAACGTCCATAGCTCCCCAACCATAGATTTCCGAGATGTCGCTTAGAGCCAGTTTCACTACGAACATTCAGTACGAACAGTCTGCAATAACTCATTGGGTAATCACATGCTACTTATCAGTCTATACTTCTGTATAGTTTCATGGATTTACAAAAAGATCCACACCCTAGTTTCTGCTTCGAGTCAGCCACTTGTTCTCAGCTATCATTAATCGTACAGATTTGGGAAAAAGATCATTCGAGAGTGCAAGAGAGGTAGATGAAACAACTGAAGCTATTTTTTTGATATATGTTTCAATTATTAAGTAGTGAGTCCCAATAGTTGAGCATATTTTCAATAACTTTTCTATGAGATAATTAATTGTCACGTGACACTTCACATACATTCAGTGTGAATAGTGATTCAAGTAGTCACGTGCTATTTAGCAGTCTATACTTCTGTATAGTTTGGTGAATTATAGTCTAAAACATTATTACCGATAGAATGCATCATATGTTTACTACTAAAGCACTGCAGTGCTATAAGCGTACTTACAGTGGCGGCGCAACAGTGGGGCACTAAGGGGCAATTGCCTCCCGATAAAAATTTGTCCGTTCTGCACTGACTAGAGAAGAACGAAAAAAATAGATCAGATTTAAAAAACAGAGATTGTTTCTTGGCATCCTGCTACGGGAAAAAAAACTATTGCCCCCTCAAAGTTTTTGGACTTGCGCCGCCACTGCGTACTTAAGGGATTCAACGGCTGTCTAAAGTGTTTCTAAGATATGTTTCACTCGGTCGGGTTTCCAATGTGCCGATAGGGTAGTTGGTATCTAGTCTTTCTTTCTTTTCACACTTTATTTTCGTGTTCGAGTCAGCCGCTCGTTCTCGCTTATCTCTGATCGTATCAATTTGATGAAAACATCATTTGAAAGTAGAAGAGTCAGAGATGACACATTCGAAGCTACTTTTGCGATATATGCTTTAGTTATCCTATAATCAGTAGTACAAATTGGGTATATTTTTTAGAAAACTCTGTCGTTTTTCCTATGAGATAATTAATTGTCACGTGATATCGTTCATAGTGAATGTATACTAAAGTGCTTGATATGAAGGCTATACCAGAATGTATGATAGGATAATGAATCAGCTGTGTGTCAGCTGAATCAGCTATATCAACTGATTCATTAGCATATCATACATTCCGCTATGGCTTTCATCATATCCAGCACTATATGACTGTGCTCTTCCTGTTGAACATTATCTTTCTGAAGAAAAGTCAGACTAATAACTTTCTAGATCTTCTAATTTTGTCTATTTACCGCTTCACTCAGTCGACTTTCCATTCTTCCCGAAGGGCAGCAGTTAGCATCTAGTTAAGTCGACTGAGTGAAACTCAGGAGACGTATTGCTTTTCACCCAGAAGTATTTTTTCTTATTGTTATTTTTATTCATTCAAAAACAGTATTTATGTTTAGAAATAGACATTTTTATCTTTTTTCGTAACGCATATCCCATAATGCTCATCCTGTCCTCTAGACAACTGTTGTGTCTAGAAAAATTGCTTGTAAATAAAAACAAAGAAATTTAGGGCAGCTAATTGCAAACTCGTTGAAAATCGTTTTCTAAAGATCTTTATGGAAAAGAACCCTGTAATTTTTTCTTATTACAGTCAAAATAACTAACTCTGCTACCGTAACTGGTATTATTTTCGTCATTTTGTGTACTTCGTATCTTTTTAATAGCAAAACAGAAAGAACATCACTTATATAGATAGCAAAGAAATAGCATTAGAACGAACATCACTTCTTTAAAAAATTGCACTTTAAAATTTGGCATCAATGACTTATACCTAAAGAATCTTTAAAGGTTTTTCATCATGTTTTCTCAAGAAGAAAAGACAACGATCGATAAGAGGCTAAAAAATTGTTTTATTGTTGTTATTCATTTCTTTGTATCTATCTCTCTTGATCTATTTATTTTTACTAGAACCGATTCGTCAATGGCATGAATATCAGAAGGAACTACTTTAGTATCGATAGATATTTATACCAGTTGTAAATCATAGTCAAGCTTTGATTTACTCACACTCTTTGTACTATGATGATGAACAGCGTCATTTAATATTTTCACTGTTCCGTTTCCTTAACGATGACTTCGATTTATGCCAGAAGGATATTTGTGATCATGGTAGTAACGAAATTGTTTTTTAGTAGGTACGAACAGATGAGGTAACTTTCATTAAAACTTTTGTAAAAATATCTGATTTCAGTGAACTGATGATTATTATGAGAGAAAAATTGAGGAAAGTCAAATTGAACAAAAAAGTTATCTATTTTTTCGTAATTTCTTTTGTATATTTATAATCAACATTGTTTATGGTTTTTGTTGCTGTTATTTGTACGCCTTGAAAGTACAATATCTTACTTAAGCTTTTGCTTAACTTAGGTCAAATTTAAGGCCAGAACGGACTGATCCTAAGTTCAATTTTCTACTGTGTTATGTTAGAAACATAAATTGTCAACAATATGTTGATAAAAGTAATCTAGAATAAAGTCGAGAAACAGTAGGGTTTGATCAAAACAATCTGTATGCTGAAATTATTAAACTATGAAAAATGGAAGCATTTTTTGCATAAACACAAAGACTATTTTACTTGGTCCACTTGTAACTGAAGCTGAAATAGAATGTATCTATAAGCTTTGATCTTCAATCAATATCTTGTATAGAAAAAGGATGTATATCAGATCTCATAACTCAGACTTTCCCAAACGAATATGGAAAAGTGAAACCGAAGAGAAGTTTACTTGATTCTTCCATCATATGCCAAGTCACATGAAACTCGATCATTTTATAAGATGTTTAGTGTACCCTATCGCATGTTTAACATTACTTGAGAATGAAAAACTCACTAAGAGCACAAAGAAAGTTTAGATTGAGAATCAGCATCATCGATATAACCTATTAATATGTATGATTAACATATTTAAAACAAGATTTACAATATTTTAAGAGAAAATCTTATAACCGAACAAATTAATCTTTCGTCTCTCCTAAAGAACATCTTTTTTTCTGATGGAATAAATAAACAAATTTGAGAGACTCGTTGTTGTATCGAATATAGTGCAATTTTAATCAGTTTTTTTTAAAATAATTCATGCTTACGACATATATCAAACGGTGAAACATTGCCGACTAATAAACTGTTGATACATATGCATAAGATCCAATCCGTTTCAATTGTGTCATATTGTTTAAACATTGCACAACATACAGATATTTCATAAGATCGATTGGTATAGACTTTAAAATGTAAGAAAGAACGGTAAATATCTAAATTCTAGAAAATAATGACTTGCGAATGAGACATAATGTTACTAAATCTTATACTGGACATGCACAAAATACAAACATAACCACTGTTGCATATTAATTTGGTGGATAAATATTCAATACTTATTCGTTTGAAAAAAGAATCTTCTTGATTTGAAACACTGACGTTTTTTACAAATATTTTATTAGTCTTGTTCTTCTCTCGTCAACATTTCTTGTGTATATGTTTATTTGAAAATAAAACTTTGACAAATTATATACACACAACCAAAGAGCGAACAGCAATATTCAAAACATATTATTGCCATTGTCGCTGCCATGCTGACGTATTGGTGAAAGTTTAGTTCACTTTCACCATTGGCGAAAGTCAATTGACGAGAAACCTATTGGCGAAATTTCGATTCCCCAGGTCGAGTACAAAGATTAGCATTTTTCTCAAAGCTTTTCTATAAAAGTTATCATAATTAAAATCGTTTTTTTCATAGTACGAAGCGAGTTCTACAAAACTGTCTTGATGAAATTTTTTTGCAGTCATTTGTATGAGATGATGCAACAAAAAAGCATTGTTCCTGGATTTAACGAAAATTTGTCCTCCGTAACAACAATGCCTACGGCGCAAATAATACATGAATTTAAAGTTTTATTTTCACTAAATATGATCGTCTGGTACAGTCCTATTAATAATAAGAGAACAAAAGTTCTTTCACTGAGAAACAGGTTACAAACGAAAATATATATTCTGTATGTTGTTCAGGAACTTTATAATTTATACTTTGTCTCAATAACATTGACATAAATCACGGTTCGACAAACATAGTAATAATAGAGGAGATAGAAACACATACAAATTGTACACTGTGCTCGATCCTTATCTTTTAGGAAAATTTTTCAAACAGTATTTTAACAGTTATGTGATAAAACAAATAGTTCATACGGAAAAACAACGGTCTAGTTTGTAACAAATTTTATTTTAATTAACACGTTGTTAATCTCATTTTTTGCGTTTTCTATTCTGTGCGAACAATTGTTCGTTTCTCTATAATTAATTGAATGTTAAAACAGCATTTGCACCTTTTCCAATCCGAATCTACTTTTATTTATAGTAAGGTTATTTCCACGATTAATATAGCCGAAATTAAGAAAACTAACAATAAAAAGCATGCGTAAACTACAAATACATAAACGTTTTTTCGTGCGGAAAAAAGGTTTCGTGTCTAAAAAATTACACAATGAGTCATACATATTCGGAATCAGCATCGAATTCTGAGTAAAACTGTATTCTCAGATCGTTCAAATTCGAGAAAAAATTTGACTCAGTGGTCAGATGAAGCCTCTAGACATTGATTTTCGCCTTGAGTAACGCACCATTAGAAAGAGCGCTGCTTAATCTATCTCCAGTGTAAATATCTTATTGGATTAAGGTTTCTAGGTGTACCTTTGCAGTCAACAAGGCGGAGACGGGAAAACCCTTCGGGTTATTGGAGGTTTCAGGGCCGAAGCATTGCCCAATCAATTTGATTCTTACATATTTGGATAAACCGCCGTAAATTACA